CTCGACAGCAGTTGGAGCCACTTGCCACAGCCGCCGGCACACTTGGCATTTGCCTCACGTGCCGCCAACAAGTTCTTTTCTTTGCTTTGCTTTGCTTTGATTTGCTTTGCTTTTCTTTTGTCTGCTTCGCCTGCTTCGCCTGCTTCGCCTCCTTCGCTTCACACTGACAAGCTGCGAGCTAAGCTTGAGCTGTTTATAGAAAAAGTCAGCGTGACCGATTACAGAGCGAGCGCCCCCAGCAGCAGGTGGGCGGCAGGTGGGCGGCAGCTGCAGCTGAAGTTGCAATTGCATTTTGGGCTTTGCTGATAAGCTCGAGCTATCGCTGCCAACAGCTGCTACTAATAGAAGAATTAGAAGAAGTGGCAAATGAAATATATATGTGCATATAGAAGAAGAAGATGCAGAAGAAGTTACAACTGTAGAGAGCATACCAATAGAATTGAATTACATATCCTGCAAGCTCAATTGAAGTAGCCAAAGTATAGAGGCTGTCAGTGTAAAAGGCGTGGCAGTCATATATAATATCTTGAAAGTCTGACTAAATCGATCCAGGTGAATGAACAAAGAACAACGCAAGAGCTCCCGCCATTCCTCCGCCTGCTTGGCTACAATCTGGCAGAAAAATAGAGAGAGAGAGAGAGTGAGAGAGAGAGAATGATAATAATAATATTATAATATATGCTCATTTGATTGCTCTAATTGCGCCCTGCACTTGTCTTCAGGATAGATCAATTATAGCCGAGCTAATTGGCCAAAGGCGGTGAGAACTTGGGGCAGCAGTTGCATCAAATGCACAATAGATGGCGCGTATGGCTGAGTATGTGTGTGTGTGTGTGTGTGTGTAGGGTAATTACTGGGTGTCTGCTAGTCGTTCAAGCCGACTGCAGCTGTTGCGGAAGCAAATCAGCCAACAGCAGCAGCCAACAGCAGCAGCAGCAGCTGGCATTAGAAACAATTTAAGCAAATGCTCAACTGGCGATGCCTGCATGCAAAAGCCCACGCGAAAACACCATAAATCAACAACGGCAACAGCAACAACAACAACAACAACAACAATATAACAAATATTAATATTATTAATAAATGGCAAAATTGTCCAAGAGTCAGACTTGTTTATGCATGGGATTTACTATACAGATACCTCTGTGAGCGAGTGTGTGTGTGTGTGTGTGTGTGTTTGTGTGTGAGTTGTCTGTCTCCCTACCTCCCTCTCGCTCTCTGTCTACCTTTCTCTCTCTCTCGCTCTTCACCTAGCTTATTCAAGGACTACCAGTTGCTGCTGCTGTTGTTGTTGTTGCTGTTGTTGTTGTTGCCGTTGCTCAACACTCAACTTTAGCTTGGATCATTTTGACAGAATTGTTTCAGAAGTGTTTGGTGCAATAATTACAACACCTCGAACAACAACAACAACAACAACAGCAACGATAACAACAATCAGCTAACAATTCGCTCGCTTAGCCATGACCAGCAAAAACTCTGAGTTTGGCCCAAACTAATTGCGAATGGAGAAAAAAATCTGTTGAAAAGATTTGCGCACACTCTGAAGCTGTTGCTCAAGTTGTAGCGGGCGTTGAGTGGGCGTGGCAGCAGCAGCTGAAACTATATGTTAAAGTTAGAGAGAGAGAGAGACAGAGAGAGAGAGAGAGAGAGAGAGAGAGAGAGAGAGAGAGAGAGAGAGAGAGAGATCAGCACAGATCAGCACAGATATATGTATGTAGCTAATTCATATGCAAAAGTTTTGCCAAGTTGTCAAATGTATCTAGATAAGATATAGAAGATACATATATGCATATATATGTATATGTATGTGTGAACTTCAGCTATAATATATAGTATATATATGTATGTATATATGACATGTGTTATTCCCTTATTTATGTATGCTAAACACTTGTTGGCGCAGCCGTAAAGTCCGTCTCTTGTGCAACTGCATACAAAATGAACTCTACAGTGCTGGCCAGAAAAGTGAGCAGAGTGGGGGGGAGCGGGGGCAAGTTGATACAGTTGACAACTGTTGAGTAGAAGAAGAAGAAAAAGAACAACGACACACACTCGTTTGGCTCCCCAAAATATTAACTGCAACAACAACAACAACAACAACAGCAAGAACAACAAGAACAACAACAACAACAAATGTTTATTTTAATGCACACTTCCGGCCAACAAAGGGCTTTTCCGTCAATTAAACAGTTTTTCAGAAGAAAAAAAAACAATTTGGCGCACGTGCAGTGCGCTCAGGTGCGCGACTAGCAGTTACCCTGTAAATGCAGTTGCCCATTGTGCTTCATCAGCAGCCCTAAACTGATCCAGAAGCGAGTCTACATATGATATGATATATATGTGTCATGTTAATATATGATATATACATACATACATATATGTATGTGTGCATGTCCGTTATGCCTTATAGCTAATATACCCTCTTGCTGCCTACGTTTTTAACAAGGATTGGCTAAGTGTAAACAGAGGTGCTTAACGATTAGCTGGAAGGGAACACACACACACGTATGTACATATATATATATATACTTATATACATATATATATTTATATATATATCTGATATGCCCATCGTATTGATGCATGCTAAACAGTCGATTGAGCTGGCGCGCCAGCTGCATGCGGGAAATTACCTTTACAGTGCTGGCCAATCGAGTGGGCACAGCTGCAGGTCGGGGCTGGGCGGGGCAGCAGCCGCGCCGCCAAGTCAACTCCAGTTGATACAGTTGGCGACAGTTGACAAGCCATATTATTATCGTCATCAGCCAGAGAGCGACAGAGAGAGAGAGAGAGGGGAGAGAGGGAGAGAGGGGGAGAGAGACTGTGTTTTATACCTTTTGTTGGATTTTTTGGCTGCGTGTTGACTGACAGCCTGTACAATAACAAAAGCAAATTATACAATGATGATGCTTAAATTGTAGAAGAAGAAGCAGAGGCAGAGGCAGAGGCAGAAGCAGAACAACAGCCACGGCTAAAGCACATTTGTTGTAATTGCCAGTGCTAAAAGCAAAAGTGAAAAAACGTTTTCAATTTTATAAGCCATATGCCGCATGTGTCATACATTTGCCTGCCTAAATGCCCTCTCTCTCCCTCCCCCCGCACTTCCCAGCCCCTTTGAAGTGCGCCTCAACTTTCGAGGCGTTGTCAGCAATTGGCAGTTGCCCATGGAGCCATCAGCCGAAAGTGAGATCCGAATGTCGAGCCAGGCCTCTTCTGTAACATTAGAACCGACTCTCATGTGTATCATATACATACATATATAAGTATATAGATCATATATATATGTCACATTTATGCTGCTTGATGTCTGCTGAGTTTGTAGTTTTGCTCGTGCACTGGCCAAAGATGAAGCGAGCATATCAGCTTACAGCAGTTTAAATAGAGCTGGCTCCACAATTGACGATTATCAGATGCTAGGGAGCACGACAAAGGGAAGTCTTATCAGGTGAAAGAGGCAATATAATATATATAATGTCTATAGAGTGTCTCATTTCTCTCTCTCTCTCTCTCTGTTATGCTCTACAGACTGACAAGTCCTAGACTCCCTTTAGTAACTTTTCCAAAGTATTGGGCCGTCGGCTAGGCTCGTTTTGATTTCTGTTTCATTTGCAATTTGCAGTTGTCAACAAATGAAATTTGATTTGTGACACACACACACACACACACAAACACACACACACACACACGCGCGCGCGTTGTCGTTCGCTCGCTGTTAAACGCTTTGTGGACACTTTTAGATAAAAGTTTAGTTGCCTTTTGGGTAACTTGGGTAACTATATACCTACATACATATGTACATCTACATACATCTACATACATACGTATATTTGGCTGAACTGGACCGGTTTATTTCTGGTTGTAGTTGGGGCAAAACTTTCGGCAAGAAACAAAATGAGGTCGTTGTCAAAAGCAAAAGCAAAAGCGAAAGTTCAACTCGCGTTGGTTCTGGTTTGTCTGTGTGTGTGTATGTGTTTTTATCGACGGCCCCTTTCCTCCTGGTGCCCTCCTGCTTCTGCCTTGCTCCAGCCTCTCCGCTCACCTGTTGTCCGTTTTAGGGCGTGCCAATAGCTAGCCGCGTGCTGCTCCGCCTGTGCAGCTGTTGCCGCTCCTTGAGCCAGCATCGCCAGGGCGAGAGAGACAGCGCCAGCAGCTTCGTCGTCAGCCTGACTTTGACTCGGCTCTGCCTCGACTCTACTCTAGCTCTGCCTTGTCTCTGACTTTGACTCAGCTCTGACGCTTGTTGGCTTTGCTTAGCCCTGCCTAGAATCCTTCCTCTGGCTTCTTCTCTGTCTTTGAGCAGCCCTTGGCTCTCTGCCTAGGCTCGTTTGCCTGTGCCTCTGCCTTTCGCTCCCCTTTGCCCTCGCCTTGCCTTGCCGCATTCGCTTGCGTGACCAAGTGAAGTCCAAGTTCAAATTGGTATCAATTGGCAGCTCAAGTGGACTTTTGCGGTTCCTCGTGCTTCGCCTGCGTACGCAACTTCCTCTCACGAGCCAAATGGCTTTCGCTTTTCATTTGCATTTTTGTGGGCTGACGCTTCACTTCTCGTTCTTGAGTGAGGGCCAACAAGCGGGTATAATGTGCTATAGGTTTGCCTCAAGTCCATCTGCCTCTTTAAGGAAAGAAGATTCTTATCGATTGGCAAAAAGTCTTTTTGCCCTTAGCTTGCCAACTTTGAGGGGGGGAGTGTTATGAGTGCTCTCTTTTTCAGCAGGGTATCTGGCAGTCGTGCTGGCAGTCACACTCTTCCGATTCATTTGTGTTTTGCACTTGTTCTTTTGCCCCTTTTTCCGTTCGCATTTACATGCACTTCCGTTCGACTACGTCGACAACTTCAGACCCCACCACTGTCTGTGCCCCTTCTGCTCAGTCAGCGCATTGCTATTGACATCATCATCATCATCATTATCGTGCAAACCAGCATTTTTGGCAAACAGTGAAGCGACAGCACTTCGTACACCCACCCGAAATTCTTAACGCTCAACTCGATTTCCTTCAAGCAGATCGACTTGCTAAGCTCGGAGCGCATCATGATCAAGTTCCGGTACAAGCGCAAGGAGCCCAGCAATGTGGTGGCCTGCAGCGCCAATGCAACGGCAACATCTGCGACAGCATCAGCAGCAACATCGACGACAGCAGCAACATCTCCAGCAACAGCAACAGCAACAGCAGCAGCAGCAGTTGCTCCCGCAGTGGCGCAGCTGCAGCTGATTAGCAACAATGGCACCTTGCCCAGGAGCAGTCCGCGCAAGCTGCTCCTCGACTCTGGCTCAGCGACGTTGACGCGTCAGAGCAAGCAACAGCAACAGCAGCAACAACAGCAACAGCAGCAGCAGCAGCAGCAAAATCTTTGCGCTTTGGCTAAGGTCTCCAGCAGCATTGAGTTGGCGTTTCATGGCTACAACAACAACAATAACAACATCAGCAACAACAACAACAACAACAGCAGTATTGAAAGAGATCGCTGCATTAATGCAGTCATTGTAAGTCGTGCATACCCGTTAGCAATTAGCCATTTGCAATGCCCAGCCAGAGTCAGATCCATAGATCTATAGACTGTCTACATAGAGTACTATCTAACCCCCCTCTCTCTCTCCCATTCTCTAGGAACTGTTCCAGCAGCTACAAACGAGCTCTGAGCCCGCCCTGTGCCCGGAGCCCCTGCGTCGCGCCTTGGCCAGCGGCCCGCTGGCCGGTCGCCGGTTTCCGCTGGGCTGCCTCGGCGATGCTGCCGAGTGCTTTGAGCTCCTGCTGCACCGCGTCCACTCGCACATCTCGCCCGACGACGGCGACGCCTGCGAGTCAGCCGCTTGCATAGCCCATCGGCGCTTCGCCATGCGCGTCATCGAGCAGAGCGTTTGCAAATGCGGCGCCAACTCCGAGCAGCTGCCCTTCACGCAGGTGAGTCAATTTGATCGCATAGAGAAGAGCTCAGAGACTACTCGAGCTCGAGATTTCCTCAAGGGACTCTATAGACTCAAAGTTCAGGGAAAGTTGATTGATCGATTGAGAGAATAGGGGGAGATTAGCTAGAAGGGGTACGGCAAGGTCTTAGTAGCTCAATAGACGACAAAGTAAAGTGTTCTAGAAGAACACATCACAGATCTCACATGTAGCTCTTCCGAGGGATACGCGGCTAACTCCTCGGGCACAAATTTCCACATGTTACACAGGGATCATTTTGAGCCAAGGTATGCAGTCTTGAATCGGCTCAGTCTTGGAGCATTCAATGAGACTTGACGTAATTGTATGCAAGTTCTTTGACGCTGGTGGCGTGGGCTTTGGAACACCTGCGACTGCTGCTATGTAAATTGTGACAAGGCGCCGCAGCTGGAGGGGGGAGGGGGGGGCGGAGGCTGTGAGGGGCGCCAGAATAGACTAGGGGAAACAGTTAGCTGGCGAGGTGGCCAAACGGGTTATGCGGCACAACATGAACCTGAACGTGAGCCACTCGCTCGACCAGTTTGCGGAACACCCACTAGGAGAGGCAACGCACACGGATCACAGATTGCAAATGTAGTTAGCTCTGCTACCCTGCCCCTTGCCCGCTCCATCACTTTGGCTCATAGATCATTGCTTGCCATTGACAGCCAGGGTCTCCTGCCCCTTCTAGCACGCTCATGTATCAAATACGTTGCAAGTGTTAAGCAGACTTCCTTAAGACTTTCCTTTAGCTCCCCCCTTGCTAGAGCTAGACCACTGTCTTGGCCCCTCTCTCTCTCCCTCCCATGCATTGTTCTTTGTTCTCACTTTCTGCCCCTTCTACCCCTCTTGCAGATGGTGCACTACGTCTCCGCCTCGGCGCTGACCTCGCAGAAGAGCCTCGCCATGCAGAACCATCAGCAGCTCAGCTTCGGCCAGCTGCTGCGCGCTGCTGGCAACATGGGCGACATACGCGACTGTCCGGTAAGTACATGAACCAATCTTCCACAGCATGTGTGACTCATCTCCCTCTCCTGCTCTTGGTCTCCCTTAGAACGCGTGTGGTGCCAAGATTGGCATTTGCCGTGCCCTGCTCAATCGACCGGATGTGGTGTCGATCGGCATTGTTTGGGACTCGGAGCGGCCGGCCGCCGATCAGGTGCACGCCGTCTTGAAGGCAGTGGGCACCAGCCTGCGCCTGGCCGACGTCTTCCACCAGGTCAGCGAGCAGCGCTGGGCCCAGCAGTCGCAGCACGAGCTGGTGGGCATCGTCTCCTACTACGGCAAGCACTACACCACCTTCTTCTTCCACACGAAGCTCAAGGTGTGGGTGTACTTCGACGACGCCAATGTCAAGGAGGTGGGGCCCAGCTGGGAGGGCGTGGTGGACAAGTGCAGTCGCGGCCGCTACCAGCCGCTGCTGCTGCTCTACGCCGTGCCGCAGCCGCCCAGCGCCGCTGCCGGGGCAGCCGTCGGCGGCTGCGGCATGGAGCGGCGCGCCGTCACGCCCAGCCCGGAGAAGCCCAGCCTGGGCAGCACCAGGCGTGCCATAACGCCCACGCCGCTGAACGACTACCAGAACCTGAGCGTCATACAGAAGAGCATCTTCCCTGCGCCGCTGCCCGCGTCTCCTGCTCTCCCAGCTCTGGCAGCGGGCAGCGACGAGACGGACGCCTACATCAGCCGCAAGACCGTGGAGCACGTTTTGAGCGCCCAGTACCAGAATCTGAGCGTCATCCAGGACAAGATCGCCGCCGATAAGGAGGGCGGCTTCCTCAACCGCAAGCCCATCGAGGCGATGCTCAGCGCGCAGCTGGCCCGCCGGCAGCACCTGCAGCTGCAGCGCAGCCACAGCGCGGAGTCCAGCTCCGGCCACGCCTCCAACGGCAGCTCTCCGCCCAGCGACGGCCTGACCATCCCGGAGCACCTGAACCAGCCGAGGCGCCGCGACTCGGGCAACTGGTCGGGAGACCGCAACAGCGCCAGCTCGGCCAGCTCCACGACCCTCGACAATCCCTATCTGTACATGGTGGCCAAGCGAGGCGTGGCCGCCGTGCCCCAGAGCCCGACGAGGCATGGCCACGTGCATGGGCTGCCCTACGATGCGGGCTACGACTCGTTCTCGCTGAGCTCCACGGACTCGTATCCGCCCAAGCACGTGCTCAACCCGCAGCTGGCCAAGATCCCGGAGACGAACGCACCGAACGCGGCCGGCCATGTGCCGCACGGCCCGGCGCACGGCTCGGGCCTGGCCCTGTCGGGCGACTGCGAGAAGCTCTGCCACGAGGCGGACCAGCTGCTGGAGAAGTCGCGCCTGGTGGAGGAGTCGCACGACCTGGAAACGGCGCTGGTCCTCTGCAACGCAGCCGCGGGCCGGGCCAGAGCTGCCATGGATGCGCCGTACAGCAATCCGCACACGATGACCTTCGCCCGGATGAAGCACAACACCTGCGTGATGCGCGCCAGGAGTCTGCACCGTCGCATCCTCATCGAGAAGGGCGCCGAGAGCGAGGCCATGCCCGAGCTGAAGCACATGCGCGAGGGCAGCAACAGCAGCGTCAAGCACATGCGCCAGAACAGCAAGGACCGCACGCTCGAGAAGCTCGAGAAGCTGGAGAAGCTCGAGCAACTGCCGCCAACTGGCACGGCGGCCAAGAGCATCGAGATCTATGCGACGCTGCCGAAGCGCAAGAGTCCGCTCAAGGCGCTGGTCAACGCCGGCGGAGATGACAACGCCATCGAGTACGAGCCGCCGGCTAGCCAGGCGAAGCCGGAGCGCGAGAGCCGCTCGCTGTTCGGGCGCCGCGACAAGGACAAGGACAAGGAGAAGGAGAAGGAGCGGGAGAAGGAGAAGCGCAGCCGCAGCGAGGACCGCAACAAGCTGACGCGCGAGTTCTCGCTGACCGAGACGCTGCTGGTGAACGCCAAGGACACGCTGAAGAAGCACAAGGAGGACAAGGACGAGAAGAAGGAGAAGGACAAGAGCGGCAAGAAGCAGCACAAGATCCGGCGCAAGCTCCTGATGGGCGGACTCATCCGGCGCAAGAATCGCTCCATGCCCGACCTGACCGAGGCTGTCGACGATCCCAGCTCCTCAGCCGCGGCGGCAGCTGCTGCCGCTGCGTCCGCGCTCAGTGCGCATGCCACGCCCCTCGGCTCGGTGGACGACAGCGCCGTTGGGCTGCATCTGCACGGCCACGCCTACATGGGCATGAGCGGCTACATCTCCGAGGGCCACTTTGACTACCCCAGCAGCAGCAACAGCAGCAGCGCCGCCTCTGCTGCAGCAGCAGCTGCTGCTGCCTCCGGCTGCTGCGCCAATCCCAACCTGGAGCGCAGCAAGCTGATGCGCAAGAGCTTCCATGGCAGCGGCAGGCAGCTGACCATGGTGCCCAAGGTGGCGCCACCCCCGCCCATGCGCACCAGCTCGGCACTAACACAGCAGCAACAGCAGCAGCAGCAGCAACATTTCCATCACGAGGCAAACCTGTCGAACATCTCAGCGATGAGCTCGAATGCCTCGATAAGCGAGGACTCGTGCCAGACCATCATCACGACCTGTGCGCAGGTGCACTCCGAGCAGAGTCCGTTGAAGGACCTGCAGCTGCCATGCGCCCCAGACATGGGCATGGCCTTGCCCCTGCCCATGCCCCTGCCCCTGCCGCAGCTGGAGCTGCCGCCGTACCCCAGTCCGCCGCAGTCCGTTTGCCACTCGAGGCAGGCGAGCGAAGACTTTCCGCCGCCGCCGCCAGAGATCGACCTGGAGCCGCTCAACCAGCAGCTGAATCACCTGCACGCCCTGGAGGCGGCCAGCAAGCAGCAGCGACAGCAGCTCGACTCCATGGAGGGCACAACCAGCATCCTGGCCCAGCTGCAGCAGCGACAGCACCTGCTAAAGCTGCGCAAGGAGCAGGCGACGCCGTTGCCCGACCTGCGGAGCCGAAAGCCAGAGCCAACATCAGCAGGAACAGCAGCAGCAGCAGCTGCAGGAGGCTCGCCCAGCAGCGTGCGCGATCTGGCGCATCGTTTCGAGCAAACCAGCATTGGAGGAGCGGGAGCAACAGCAGCGACAGCAGCAGCAATGGCTAGCAGCAACATGCGCTCGTACGCCTCCCAGGAGCTGCTCAGCTCAGTGCGCACGCAGATGAACGGGCTGCCCAATGGCAAGCCGGAGACAGATGAGGTTGACTGCGCGCCCATGCCACGCCAACAACAACAGCAGCAGCAGCAGCAACAGTTGCTGCTGGCCAAGCCCAAGTACGAGATGTCGCAGTCGCAGATCGCCGAGGAGATTCGCGAAGTGGAGCTGCTCAACTCGATGGTGCAGCAGACGCTCAACCAGAGCAACCTGGCGGCGCCGAAGCGCGTGAAGAAGAAGAGCGTCTCGTTCTGCGACCAGGTCATACTCGTGGCAACAGCCGGCAACGAGGAGGACGACGACTTCATACCGAACCCCATTCTGGAGCGAGTCCTGCGCACGGCCCAGCACCCCAACGAGAAGGTGAGCGCGCAGCTCATTCAGCAGCAGCAGCAGAATATGCTGCGTCTGCAAACAGAGGCGCAGCCACGCCTGCAGCAACAGCAGCAGCAGCAACAACAGCAGCAACAGCAACAACTGCAGCAACAGCAACTGCAGCAGCAGCAGCAACAGCTGCAGGCATCGCCCATGCTGGGCAGGCCTGACATGCAGCGCTATGTGCAGCGCCAACAGCAGCTACTGCAGCAGCAGCAACAACAACAACAGGAGCTGTATCGCCTGCAGCAACAGCAGCAGCAGCAACAGCAGCAGTTGCTGCCACGCACCAGCATGAGCGGTTTGTCCAATCAGCAACAACAACAACAACAACAGCAGCAGCTGGACATGCAATACAGCAGCATGCCGCGACCTTTGCATGCGCAAAGCTACTCTATGCAAATGCAGAAGCAACAACAGCAGCAGCAACAATTGCAACAGCAGCAACAGCAGCAGCAGCAGCAGCAGCAACAACTGCAACAGCAGCAACAATTGAGCATTGCCTACTTCAGCAATGGAACTGTTGCCGCTGAGCAGTCGCTGCCCTCGCCCTACCAGCGCGTGCCACACCCGCATGCCTATCAGCAGGCCAACTTCTATGCAGCACAGCAACAGCAGCAACAACAGCAGCAGCAGCAGCAGCAGCAACAGTTGCTGAATGGTAAGAAAAAGGTGAGCTTTGAGCCAGGCACCAAAGGTGAATTGGAATGCCTGCCCTGTGCGCCGCAGCCCCCACCGCCGCCGGCGACGTCGACGGCGACGTCGCTGCAGAACGGACTGCCCGAGCCGCTCTCGAATGGCACGAATCTCAATGGCATCACGGCCATACCCACCCGCGTCTACAACAATGCCATCGTCAAGGCCTCGGCCAAGGCCGTCGAGTGCAATCTGTGCCGCAAGCGCCACGTGATTGCGCCCTCGATCTACTGCACCAACTGCGAGTACTATCTGCAGATGCTCAACCAGCGCAGATGATGTCTGAGTGAATCGGATTTCGATTCGAAGTCGAAGTCGAGCTCGAACTCGAACGCGAACTCGAACTTCAGTGCTACTGCAATCAAATGAATCGATTTGAGTTCGAGTCGAGTCGAATCGTAGCTGTTAATGGAAACACGTAATCTCAAGCATTGCTGCCACGCCCCTCCAAATAGCGCCCACAATAGGCTGTTACTGTTAAGGTTTGAGTCCGTAGAGTCGTACATATATATACATATATCTATATATAGCTTATAGCCAATCGTAGCTCGTAAGCAGTTGCAACAGCAGATCGAAGCAGGCAGCAGCAGCAACAGTTCCCAACTGCAACATGCAACTGTTGCTGCTGCTGCTGCTGCTACTGCGGCCATCTAGAGTCAGGGATGCGATTGGGTTTGCTGCCGCGTGGAGCAGTGGCAACAGCAACAGCAGCAGCAACAGTCGCTTTTATGCCGTCGCATAAGATGTCGCAACTGTTTGCCAGCCACGCCTACCATGAAACGCCTGCACGCACATGTTCCCCCAGCACACACACATATATGTCCACTTGCCCATATATCTAACACGCGTCGCTCACAACGAACATCGACATCAGCAACATCGCCAACACCAGCAACATTTAACAAACTCCATCCAGCCTGGCTTCCGCAAATCTCTTAATATTTTTTAAATTAATTCATATTTCTAGTTTTAATCGCATATTTTTTTTATCATCATTAAATTGTTTAAGTTTCAAAAGTTTTTAATACTTAATTTTTTTTTTTTCGTGAGAAACTCAGCCGCTGAGCTTCCATTGCCGCGCAGTTGTCGAACGACTGCTCGGCAGAGTTTTAATATTTCTATCTGATATATTAAGCATTTATTTTTCATACGACATATAGAATGTAAAACTTTTTTTTTTTTTTTTCTTGTAATGCATTTTATACGATTTAATAGTATTTTATAGTACTTAAAGTGTTTATACATTTATTATAACGATTTTTAAGATTTTTCTTTACAGAAAACACAGAAATGCACAAATGATGCGAGAAAAGAACAAAAAGAGCAAATAAATGGTAAAAAAAGAGAAATTATTTTAATAAAAAATCATATACAAAATAAATCATTGTGTTATTATTCTGGGAAATTAAAAGGAACAAACAGGTTTTATAGCTCCTTTTTATAGCTGAGCAGATCAAGTTCTCAGCCTGGGCACAGAAACGTCATTCAAACGGCGTTATCCTGTACAGCAGACATCTCACGTAGTTTTGAGTTCGAATCGTTTCTCGGCTTGCACCCTGAAGTTATCCGAGGGTCTTCTATGTCGTACAAGAGAAAAAGTAACGCGAGAGGAAGCTGGAGGTCCAGGTACTGCAGCCAAAAAATCTGCTCGCTCGCACTAAAAGAAGATTCAGAGCAGGCCAACGCCAAGTATGCTGAACCGGGTCGGAGCCTAAAAGCTTTCCTTAAAGCTAACCTTTGATAGCTACACCCTATAACTAAACCAGTCAATATTTCGTCAAATACAAATTTCCCAAAATACAAACGCATATGATTGTCAACAATTTTATAGTAAACCTCATTCTCTGAAAATCTTCACATACCTTTAGGCTGATACAAAAACGAATTCATATCCGACAGTTGCAGATTGGCTAATATTTAGGACATGGCTGTAACCCCATGAATTATGTTAAAATTTCACAAATAAAGATCTTAAGGCAAACTTGCAGTGATCTATGGTACAGAGGGCCAGGGACATCAGAGAGTATCTTAAGATTTCTAACGCCATGCTAATCATCCACATGCTGGAAACCAGATCAAGTCAAGGAAGAGAATTTTAAAAGTGTCATCCATAACATGGCCAATAGATGAACGATCGAGAGTTTCAACTTTCTCAAGCTACCTGTACGTATATATGTCTGAAACTGCGTCATAGAATATCCAATGCTTAGAAGTTAGACCTTTCGAAGTCATAGAGAAGTATTTACTCTCTGAATAGTATCAGGTAATATTTCGAATCCAAAACTTCTGTCCATCTTATGCAGTCCCCGAACTCAACTTACCTCTATGAAACGATCACAATACAAAAGCATTCCTTGCTGGCTTAAGTTCTAATTGTATTAAGATAAGCTGAAAAGAAAGTTCTTTGATACAGTAGTCCCCCGATTCCCCCAAATAAAACAGAGTTGGATTTTATTTAAATTAAAATTTTTAATTTAATTGAAAACTAAAATGAAGACAGAGTGACTTCTGAGGTGAAATGGGAGTTCATGTTAGGTATTCTGAGTCGAGCCTCTAATTGTAATCGAAACAAATTCAGAGTTTTTCGCGAGATTCGGCTCAGACGTATAACAGTTCAGTGCTTGTTACACAATCATTTTTTTTTTTCGCGTCTTGATCGAAGCTCGTATAACGCTTCCATACAAAATGCAATTTTTTTTATCGTTGTGTGTCGTTTTAATTTTCGGTTTCTTTTATTTTGTTATTTGGGTTGTTTTTTTTATAATCGATTTTCGAACTGCGTAAAACATTTATCCGGAATCATTTTTTTTTTATTCATTTCTTTTTCTTTTCGAGCTGAGCGTCAAGCTTATATACATATATATATATTTTTTTTTCTTTCTTTTTTTTTTTGCTTGGCAAACAGCTCTTAAATATTTTACGCAATTCAATATTTTTTACATTTTTTTTTTCATATATTCTTTTTATATTTAAGGCACGGTTCGCTCTTTATTTCATTTTCTTTTTTTTTTTCTCTTTTTCTTGAAATTCTTACTTTCGACCGACCGATTTGTGAGTGCGAGAAGTGGAAAGGAAGAAGAGGAAGATGAGGCGGGTGAAGTTTGTGTATTCACAGTAGAGTGGAGAATGGGATGGTGTGGGTACATGAATATCGATAACAAGAACAAAAACTGTTGTGTGCGAGAGGCAGAGAGAGCTGGGAACTTAAAATTCGACATTGAAAATATCATGATCAAAAATGAGAAATAATTCTTAAAACAAAGAAAATCTTCACTTGAATATGGCAACGCTTCTTGGCTTTCAAATTGCCGTTGAATCTGGCAGCGCTTCTAGGCAAAACGTATTTTGGTCGCCTCTTGGCATTCTCATAGATCTCATAAGGTTTGCTGTAGCTCTTTTCTGTTTTCGCATCTTTGGTTGAGCTGGCAACGCCTCTTGGCATTGAGCAGCTTGAACACTTTAATTATACTTTGTTGAGGGACTATAGATTATCTTGCAACGCCTCTTGGCGTTTTTGTTGACACTCTAGTGCCTTCTTTATCTTTAGTTTATCAAGTCTCTAAAGATAGCCCAGAAACGCAGACACAGGAACAGCTTAAGACACAGCACAGGTCACTCGACACTGAGGCACAACGCTGCTGTGAGATTTGGAAAGATACTTTGAGATCGCAACTGGAATCAGTGGAGTCGAGCATAGGAAGTCAGGGAACGAATCAAACTTAAAGAAAACAAAAACTTTGGCTGCGCAGCTGTGGCTCCAAGTTTCGTTTCGACTCATCTGAAATAACACCGGCATAGAAATAGGTTAGTAGTGCTCTCAGCAGTCTACTTCGTGGCTGCTGAAGCCGCTTCGCTGATCTGTTCGGAGGGATTTCAACGCGCTTTCCGCCTTCGGGACTTTGAGATGTTGATCTCCACGTGTGATGTGTGCCACAATCAGGCGTTTTTTGCTTTAGTGGTTTTTCATATCGTTTAGCTGGGCAAACCAATCGCCCGGGACAGGCGTGTCACGAGCAATTGGCTTGCCGTCTTTTCTTCAACCTACTCAGCTTTATTTTTGGCTCATTCAATTTCTGTTTCGTTTGCGCCGCATTCGAAAATACCTGCGTAAACTTTCAAAACCTTTCTAGGCTTTCTTTTTCTTTTTTTTTTTTTTTTGTGCATAAATTTGTGTGTTTTTTTTATTATCTTTGCACTTTTTTAAATTTTTTGTTATATATATATTTATATATTTTTTATTTATTTTTATTTTTTTTTTTTTATTCTTTTTTTTTTTTTTGCTTTCTCTATCTGTTGCACTAATTGCGGCACACATCGCTCGTAGAACGTTTCGCATTTGGATATTTATATTATTATTTGATGGGGTTTCTTTTTGCTTATGGCCCACGCAAAGGCAGCGGTTCGAATCCCTTAACAAATCAGCGCAGCGCTTGGCAAACGGACGTGGGAAACTCACCTGGAGGCAGTTTTTTAAAGGCATTTTCTATATATAGATCTACTCTATATATAACTCATATATAGAGTAGTCTACAGGATCAGTCACTGACACTGCTGTAAGCAATATGCAAGTTAGAGGCGCCAGAGGTGGAGTTTATTCGGGGCTCGTATATACAGAGGGAGGATGATCTATGTACAATGGGAACGGAGAGGGAGAACGGAACGGAGTTCGAGAACAAAAGGACAAACGTTGCGTATCTCAAAGCGAAGTGGAGGAAACTCAAATTGTTCTCCTTTCTATCGATTGCTGATTGATGGCTGTGCCTGGTGCCAGCGGCTGTGGTACATCATGATTGATGCTGCGACTCTAGCCATTCCAGTGAATGCGTCGTGGTCTGATCTCGGGATCGAATTCTGTGATTGAATCTCTATTGGCTCTATTTACAACATGAAGCTCTGCGTTGGAGTCTAGGAAGTATTGGCTTTCTCTCTTACTCTTATCTCTTTTTGGTGTTTGGCTCTCTGCCTGCCGAACGACACGGCCTGTAGAAATATGCATCCAGTTGAGTAAGCTTTGCATCATTTTTATTTCAATTCCATACCTGATTGGTTGATGGACCATTTCCCTTATGTTCATTATTCATCCTGACTGAAGTTGAGGTTTGCTTTTCTTATACCTTTCCCAATCTTGTTTCTGTTGTCCTAGCACGAGTTGTGCTCTGCCTTTTACTCTCCTTCTGCACTGCATGACCAGCCTAAGTCCCTTCCCTCTTGCACTCTCTCTCCCTCTCTACCCTATTCGTCTCTCTCCAGCTCCCCCTGCTCTGTCTCTCGTGACAGTCGAGCCCAGCGACACGGTCTTGGCTAAAGTGATACAGAGCCGGAACTAGTTCCAGTCGGACTTTGACGAATCAGCTTTCCCTACACTATATATGTATGTATATACTTGCCACACAATATACTGTCATATATATGTATGTATGCCAACTGAATGCGGAGTTTGATGGACGATTGGAATGGACGAATACGATGACATTCTCTGGTTTTATAGTGGTTCGTGGGGTGATCGACTAGCTCAGTTAGTGGCATTCGGATGCCCTGGGTGTGATAGGCTGCGCAGTGGAACTGCTTTATTGGCGTATAGCACTTATTCGAGTGCTTCCAGGTTAGGCAAGCGACCGGCCGGAGCTCGAGGCGGCGAGCGCAGTCCAATCCAGTCTGTTGCGGGTGCGGCGGTGGTGTGTGTGCGCCTGCGCGTGTGTGTGTGCGAGGGGTGGGCTGGCGGACAGGGGCTACTTGACCCACTGGTTACGACTGTTATACGCATGCAGTTCTCTTGGTTTATGTGGCTTCTGTCGCCGGATGTTTATGCACTCGAATCGCTGTGCTCTGCCCTGGCGCTGCGCGGCTCGGCGCGGAGGCGGGCGCCGTCAACCATTTGCCGAGCGAGATGAACATACGTGTACTGTGTGTGTGCTTTAGTGTGAGAGAGAGAGAGAGCGCGTCTCCCTTGCCGAGCTGCTCGCTCGCATGCAGTTATCTAGTCGCACGACATGCCGTCTCGCTCGCATCCATGTGATGCCACGCACACTCGCGATAGAAGTATGTGGGTACGCTTCGTCTCGTGTCTCGTGTGTGCGGCATCAAACGGATGCCGTTCGTGTTCCACTGTCTCGCTCTGTTCCATATGTTCAGCTCGCGCCGCAAAGCTCACGCTCTCTCCCCCTCTCGTTGCTCCTTCGCCCATCGCTCGCCCGCATGCCCAGGGCACAGCTTGATTGATCTAAGTAGGAATTACGCTGCGAACCCGCCGCCACGTCCACGCCTCTGCAGCAGCAGCAACAGCAATTGCCACACACCGCGCCTCACCTGCCTCCGGGCCTCGAGCAGCGCTCCCCTCCGGGAGCAGCTGCCGCCCGCCGGGGACCACAGAGCTGCATTGCCATGCACCCACTCACCCGGTCGCTCGTGACCTTCGCTCTTGTGGGCGACTCAGCTGCTTTGCTCTTTTATCGAGTTGATGTGCGATTCGTGTCTGATTTATGGGCGTTCGATGGCTGGCTCTTTCGCTCTTTTCACATATCGATACTGTGTTTGGCACTTGGTACAGTTCATACTCGGAAAAACTAGCACTTGCAAAAAAAATGGGGGAAAAAAATAGGAATCCTTGGACTAACTTCTCCTGACCGTGTCGCTCGCTCCAGAGCTAGCGCTCGACTGTGCCCGCTGCTGGCTCGGCCAGCGACGAGGCAGACTCGCTAGGCGGTGGTCCAGGTAGTCGATGAGTTCAGGTAGTCGCAGTCCGGTTCAGGTAGTCGAGCTCAGGGTCTCAGCTGGTCCCAGCCCTAATGAGGGTTTCCTTGCCTCTACTACAGCTGTCTGCCTGGCTAATCGTCTCGCTGCCTTGCTTCACCCCGATTGTCTGTCCGTTGTCCTTTGTTCGTTTCTGTTCCCTCCATTTGTCCTTGGCTGCAGCTGCATTTCCTGTTTTCCCACTAGTTTTCTTAGAATACTTTCAGTCCTAGTCCGGTCCGATTGCAGCTCCTTTCAACTTTTTCCACTCAGGTACAGACACAAACTGTTCAACTTTGCAATCAATGCTCGTTCGTCTCGTTCGTTTCGCTCGTCGCACTGCAACGGCTTCGACTTGCTGCTGGCAACGCCTCCCCGCTGCCCTTGGCGATGGCAATGCCTTTGCCATATTCACATTTTGCCAAAGTCCTTGACTTCTCTACTCTCGTCTCGTGCAAGTTTTATTCTCACTTTACAAATTTAACTAAATTCCGTTACGTTGCTTGCCCCATACAATGAAGCGAGTCATACAATGGAGCTGCCACTTGTCACAGCACAGCTCCGGAAATGTTGGGCAACGCCTAGAGCTTCCACTGCACTCGGGAGACGACTGTGAATAGCCTTTCCCAAGCATCATTGCATTATTATTCAATTTTTTATTCCACATTGCACAGTTTCTGCTTTAATATTTGAATTTCGCCAAGCAAATTATCGCGCGCGCATCGCGCACTAAACACAGCCCGCGCAGCAGCCAATTGCAACTAGGTGGCAGCGCCACGTGCATGAAGCAAGGCGCGCCCAGCCCTGGTTTAACTGCTGCAAAAAGACGATGAGATTCAAAATAAATTAAATTCAAATTAAAATTGTGAAAAAAAAATAAAAAATTATAAAACTAAAAGCAAAACAAAAAATTATTAGCATAAACAAATAAAATATAGCATACATATATATTTTGTATTTTTTTTAAATACTGAAATAAGGAATTATATAAGAATTATAAAGCAGGAACAACAGCGAAATAAAATAGAAATAATATAAAATCGTACTTAGGGAATATACAAATATTTCGATAAAAGTAAAATATATAATATATATATATATAAACAAGCAAATAACAAAGTGAGAGCAGCAGCTGACTGCTCGATATATACATATGCTAATATTATGAGGAACCAATGGACTCGCTTTACACCCAGCGAACGAGAATTCGCATCAAAAGCAATTGTTAAGCAATCAATTACAAAGGAATATATTAAAACGAAAGCAAAATTATTAAACAAGAATACGGATTATGCGAATATCAAAGTGCACAGACTAAACTCACACAGCTCTGCAGACGACGCAATCGTCGTAGCTTCATAGATATGTTTAGAGACACAGATATACGTATACATATAGATACACAAACATACAGATGCCCCAGTATATGGCTTAGGCATTATCGCGCCGATGATGCATCGATCTGGTGCTCATAGGTGGATTCGGCGGGCTCCTGTAATAAGTCGGGCTCCTGTGGTATGTCCAGCTGTGGCGCCATCACGACCGGCTTTGGTTTGCACTGCGATTCCTCTGCGTATGTGTATTTGCGTGCGAGCAAGACGAAGACCATCAGATTGATCAGCATTATGCTGGCGAAGAGCGCAAACTCTGCCGATTGGGTGTCCACGAGCTTCGCCTCCGCTATGCCCACCACCATCATATTGCCAATGGCCACGGAGAGCAGCCAGCAGGCCTGCAGCACCGACTTCATGCTGCTCGGTGCCTGAGTAAACGAGAACTCCAGCCCCGTCACGGCGAACAGTATCTCGCCGGCTGTCATGACCACAATCTGCGGCAGCTGCCAGAGCACCGATAGCGTTGTGGGGGGCACCACCTGCAGCATGTTGTACTCCTGCAGATGGGAGGTAAGGCACAATGAATGGGGAGGGGAAAGGATGACAGACAGGAAGGGAGCCTTGGCTAGACAGTTGGTCTTATGGAGCTGTTCAACTGAACTAGTTCCACGCTCGTTCACTTACATAGCCGTCGCGTGCGTTGCCCTGAACCAGGAGGCTGTACAGTCCTCCCCTCGTGGCGTCGAAGCTAGCGGCCCGTTTGCCGTTGATGTTGAGCTCGCCATAGCCGAGGGCAACTTCGTGCAGGGCCGAGAGATTGCCGATGTCCAGCTGGACGCCGGCCAGACTCGAGACGGGAGCCCTCAGCCGAATGGGACCCTCTTCCGGGGGCGTGTTGATCAAAGTGCGCAGCAGCAGAGGTTGATTGAGGCGCTGCACAGTGCTCAAGCCGTCGGAGAATTCCTGAAGACCGGCCCTGGTTAGGAAATAGCTGACTGATTGGCCTGGCTGAAGGTGCAGGCGTCCCTCGATATTCGGGCAGCGTTTGCTCGAAGACTTTGCCCTAAAGCCCACCTCCAGGGCCCGAGGCACGCGGAGCTCCAGATTGGACCACATGGACAGCGAATCGATGGAGTCGGCAACTGCCTCGTGCTCACTGATGAAATCATAGCTACACGGCATCCCATTGTAGAGGCGTAGGTGGACCACGTCGGGGAACTTGGGCGCAGCCTTCGGCTCCATCCGCTCGAGATGCAGCTCCACGGTCGCCGACAAAAAGAAGCCAATGGAGGCGCACAGCAGGCCAAGGCCGAGCTTCTGCAGCGGGCGCTTGATGCCGAAGCGAGCGAGCAGCGGATAGACGACGAAGTCGAACAGCGGAATGAAGGCGAGGATGAGCAGCGGGTTGATCACCTGCATCTGGTCCGGCTTGATATGATAGCCGAGCACGTCGCCATCCATGTGGGTGGCCTGGAAGGTCCAGCGCGAGCCCTGCTGGTCGGACAGGGCCCAGAAAGCAGGGAAGGGCACATAGAGCAGAAGGACCTTGATCAGGCACTTTGTGTCCTGCACCATCTGGGGTCCCACATGGGGCACTGCATAGTCGAGAAAGTGGGGCTGGGGATCTTCGTGGCGGTTCTGGCGCCAGCCCGTGAACGCGTTCGATATGCAGTGCGAAACGCCGAAGATCATGTTGCCCGACGGCGAGTGCACCCTGTAGCGCAACCTGCCGGCCACAAAGACCCCCATCGAGACGAGCATCAGCACAGCGGGCACCCCGAAGGCCAGGGAGTAGCAGTCCTCGTCCCCGAAGCACTCCACATCTGCGCGCAGTAAGGGGGTGACAGCCGTGGAGATCATGGAGCCCGCATTGATCGCAAAGTAGAACAGCGAGAAGAACCTGGCCAGCTCCGCGGCCTGATCTGGCAGGCGGAACTGGTCGCCCCCGAAGGCCGACACGCAGGGCTTGATGCCGCCAGTGCCCACAGCAATCATCACAAGACCCACAATGGTGACAATCCTAGAAGAGCAAGATAATAGCCATTAGCCCACACAGAGGACGTCTGCAACTCTTTTGTAATTCCCGAATGTATTTAGCACCCCAATCCGAATATAGGCTAATTCGAATTAAGGATCATAGGAGAGAGAATTCACTGGGCATGCCTCGTTCACATTCCCATTCAGATTAGTAGCTATAGAGCTGGGTAGGTACTCACTTGACTGGCATCCACGATAAGGGTATAGCCCCAATGGCGACAATCATAGCGCCCAGACTATATACGATCGACAGGTACAATATCGTCTTGTACTTGCCCAGCCAGCCGTCCGCAATGAGAGCTCCAGCGATGGGGAACACGTAGACGAGCATCGTGAATACGTGAAAGAGCACCGTGGCCATCTCCTCGTTGTAGCCCAGTTTGTGGGTGAGATAGAGCACCAGTATGGCTAGGAGCGGAGAGGGGAGGAGTGGAGAGGCGGAGCTACACATAGAGTCATAGTCGCAGTCATTCTCCGAGTCATTCGCTTACCACGCATGCCATAATAGTTGAAGCGCTCACAGAACTCATTGCTAACGATGAATGCCACGGATTTTGGGTATCCCAGCTAGAAGAGAACAGATGCGTCGTTAGCTGACAAAGTCAAGTGAAGGGACTTGGAGAGTGATTTGTGCAATAAATTATTGGATCCATCATTATCGCCTGTCTCATTATCTGCCACACTCGGCAAATCAAATGGGGAAAAGTGCTGCATCATAGCCCGCTGACTGGACAAATTTCCATCAATTGCGATTGCCCACTAAACAGTTGACTATCTATAAATATCTATGTGTATAGTCTGTGTGTGGGTATCTAGCTGATAGATAGACCTTGTTTATGTCTGCCAAGTCTGTTAGTTTAAGGGCATTCAAGCGTAATCTCGTCTCATTATGAGTGCTACGAAAGATAATGCTCATATACGTCTATGCGTATACACATTATTGGTATATAAATAGCAATTGGAATTTCTTCACTCAATCTTGATAACATGCGCAATCGTAGAGGGTATACCCTAGTCGAGCTCACTGGAATGAAACTTAAACTTTGAATGCGATCCACGAGTATTTCGATTTGTATTAATCAAACTCAATACAGGGTATTCTAAGGTTTATTCAGATCAAGGGCAAATAGTAACTGTCTCGATCTGCAATGATTCTAGACCATATACCTCAAACTGTGAAGCAAAGTATAGACCTATTATCATGAATACAGAGTATCGCCTTATCCAGCTAAAGCGAAAATGACTCAATGTCAAGTCGAAGCTAAGAGCATAAGTAGGTGAGACATAAGAATTCGTAAAGTCAAGTCAACTGAACAGGGTGTCGCCTAGTCGATCAATGGATTACTATATGATATCATACATATAGATGTATGATAATTACATATGTATTTGCATAATAGTAAGACTGACCTATTGCGCTGTTACGATTGTTTGGGTGGATCCATCTCCCTCCCTCTTTGTCTCTCTCTCTATCTAGCTCTCTCTCTCTCTCCGTCTCTGCCTGACTTTGGTGTATTTCGTTTTCGCTTTCAATTCGTTTCGGATTTTATTTTGGTTTCTATCCGCATTTGCTGTTAGTCAAGGTGAGCCGGCAAACGGGTTTGAGCCACCTGCCCCAAGCAGTGGGCCGCGACGTGAATCAAATTTCAATTCTGCACTTGCAGTTGCTAAAAGCACGCACAAACCCGTTAAAGCCAAAGTCAAGCACAGAGAACCATTGCTTAAGCTCATTCAAGTTGATTTGACAAGGCTCTACCCTATACCCTATACGAGCTATAGGGTGTTCTTTTTTACAGGGTAATGTGCTTTGCACTCATAGAGAATTCTATTCTTGTTTGGCACTGGCAAAGGCATAATGCAATTTGTGTGTGTAGAGAGATGTGAACACATCCATACATACATACATACACACATATATGTATGTATGTATATTTAGATATTTGTATATTTGTTTGAGTCAATATTGGAATGATATCGAGGCGAGTTGCAGCAGCTTATCTGCATTTCCCATCTCTATTACGAGCTGACGATCCGCAGATAACGCTGCTCTCCACTCTCACTCACTCTCAGTCTCGCTCGCTCTCCTCTGCCGCCAGAAGGGTAAGGTGCCGCAATCGAGCGTAATCAATTAGACGAGGCGGCGATGATCAAATGACAATCGCTTGTGCATAGGCAATATTACATAGTATTACGTACATATAGGCTTATCGCTGCCATCGGCCAGTCTATGGGGATGCCTGAAGGTCTCCCACTCACAGGCTTTTGTAAGAGACGTTCGATTACGTGACGTCACATTCTCACGACGCTCGTTCAGACTTGGGGGTAATTATACCTGGCAATATGCAATGCAATATACCATACATAATATATCTATGTATGTGTGTATGTATGTCAGCTGTACTTTTAATTGTGGGATCGAAAGCAACTAATTGCCGAGCCGTCCAGGCACGTCAATAATGAGATTTATATACATATATATATTTTGTATATATATACATATACATATATACAAATCTGTACCTATAGAGTTGACTGGGTTGTTCAACTCGCTGGTTCGCTGGCAGCTGTTGAACAAAAAAAGTAGGTCGACGGCATCGGAAGACGGGTGTACCACATATTCATATCTACATACATGCACACATATACATACATATGTATGTATATTGTTTTGATTCTATTTCGATTTCGATTTCGCTTTCGCGTGATTAATTTAATCAATTTGCGAGCAATAAAAGGATGATTGGCACACTCTCTAAATACATGTATGTGTATACATACATACATATGTATGTATATGAGCAGCCAAGGTCATCTGTTTTTAGTAGAGAATTGGGTCACTATAGGAGATCCTCTAAATAAGCGCCATTCTTGACCACCATCAATAAGAAAGTGAGAGAGAAAGAGAGAGATTTATATAAATTCCAGATCATTTGGTTAAGTTAAGTGAATCTCTACTGTATATAGAGTGTGCCCTTGAAGATACTCCTGAGTATATAGGAATCAACAATAAAATATATATTTATCACATGATATATGATAGTTTACTCTGATCTTTCTCCATCTCGGTCCAACTCTTAACTGGTTCGTACTGTCAGTATTATATAGCCGCACAATTTCATGTTATTTTCTCGAAATCTGTTTCTTGACTACATACATACACACATACATATGTATATTCAAGTTTGGCACCGATATCTTATCAGAAAGGTACCTCCAGAAAGAACAAAAGGGAAAGAAAACATAAACAAATTGCATATTCATACGCATATATACAAACAGACATACACACAAGACTTAAAGATAACTGTTCTTATTTTGGCTATGTGTGTCATTATGCACTAACTGTAGCAGTAAGACAGCTTTGTCTCAACTCCTACTTAAATACATACATACATATGTATGCATGTGTGTATATGGCCAAAAGTTGTGCACAATTTCAGCTTGCCAACTTGTAAATGTACATATTTGTAGGTATGAATGTATATGTACATACATACATATGTACATACGTATGTGTGCTTTAAGAGATGCTGCACTCATGCGTGCCTGCGTGTGCTTATGTACATATGTACATACATACATATGTACTTTCTCAATAGCCAGCTGAAAGTGACAACAAACTGACGCAGGCGCCGCAGTCGACGCAGTCAGTTGATGCTGTCTTTGCTGACTTCTTTGACTGATTTCTTTTCACTTCAAGTTTAGGGCTCGCTGACCATAACTTGTACATGTGTGTGTGTGTGTGTGTGTGCGTGCGTGTTTGGCAATTAGCCATGTAGTCTTTTTTACTTACTTACATACACAGATGTTTGTATGTATGTACATATATTTGTGCAATCGAGCACCATAATTGTCCAGCAAATCGTTTAACGCAACGGTACATTAGGCTTACCTCTTGCTCTCTCTCTCTGCCGCTTGCTGCTCCTTTGATTTGCTATTGGCAGCAGCCTCAGCTGCTTCAACGTCTGTTGCTTTCATTATTCGTTGATGTTGTTATTGCTGGTACGGTAGTAAGCCGTACAAAAAAAAAAAAAAAACATCCACAC